GCTTGACCCCTGTTGATAGTAACCTTTTCTTTTTTTTTTTTTTCTTTTAGAGAGCGAGCTTGAGAGTGAGTGTATGGGGGGAAGGATAGAGGGAGAGGCAGAGAGAGAAAATCTTAAGCAGGCTCCATGCTCAGCATGGAGTCTGATGGGCTCAATCTCATGTCCCTGAGATCATGACCTGAGTTGAAGTCAAGAATCAGACTCTTAACTGACTGAGCCACCCAGGTGCCCCTACAGTAACCTTGTCTTATCTAAGGATGGACGTATCTCTTCATTGGGCTATTGTTGATATGACGTTAATGTCACTGGGTTTAGGAAAAATCTACCTAACTGAGAGGTATTTTGGTTCTTGATTTTATTAGGTTATCAACAAGGGTATGTGTCGTAGCACATTGGAAAGTCCATGAACTACAGAATCAGCTTTTACATATGAGGGCTTCAACTCAGGAGTTACATGTCTTTGAGACAGTTGTTTGGTATCTCTCAGTATATGGGGTTCCTAGAACTCAATCAGTGGGTGCTCCCTGTTAGTTTCCTTTCCTTATGACAAAGATGAGTGTTTCTGTTGTAGGAATGAATATATATGAGTTTCTCAGACTTGACTGGATCATTGGAATCTGTTTAGATTTGGGGATGGATGACCTCCATCACTTTCCTTGGGTGAAATCACTCTGAGTTGCTGATTGATGGGCTTCAGAAAGTCATCATTTCCACCATCAGCTCAGTTCACCTCCACTGATCCGAGCAGGAGAAGCAGCAGCAGGAGATAGCACATGATCGATCGCCGTTGCTTTCCACCACCATCTCAAGCTTAAAAAAAAAAAAAAATCTGTTTTAAAACTATGTTTGCTAATCTCAAAGAGAAGGATTATAGACTGTTAGAAATCAGGAACCATTAAACAACTATTTTCATTTGCAGTAGATTCAGAATATAATTATCTTGAGTTTGGAGGAGATGTGCTGCTGAATGCCAAGTAAACTTCCACCCAACTGGAAAACATCAAGCCTTCCCTGCCCACCCAGCCAGACTTAGATGGTCCTTCTTCCACACTTGGAGCACTTTGCCTCTGTCCTTAGGGGTCCCAGCTTGAGGCAAGGACATCCTTCCACTGGTAGACATGCTTAGGCAAGTCTGTGAAGGGTCTGCTTTCAGGGGCCACAATGGAGCCTCCTGGGAGACTCTTCGGTCTAGGACAGGGGGTAGTGATCACAACCAGAAATTTGAAGGGAGGAGTGATTCCGAGTAATTGATGGATTTGGTTTTCTTGGTGTTTCACACTTTGAAGATGGGGCATGGAGCTGGGGACAGGCAGGAAAGAAGTGTGGGATGATTGTGGGCGAATAAGGTTGGTTGGTAAAATAGGGAATTGGTTTCACTTTAAAATCACCTTAAGACTTTGGAGCAAAAGGCAATGTCTTTGGAAACATCTGGAAAGCTGCACAGAGCACAGCTGAACTTGAATACCTCAGGCTGCCAGCTCAGGCAACAGAGGTGCCCACCCTCACCAAGGCAGCCATTGCTTCAAGATGGCTCCTCAGAAGCAAGTGAGGAAACCGTGATACCCCTCTCCAGAGTCTAGAGGGCAACAAACACATGACTCAGTACCACAGAAGGAGGCCAGAATATGAGAGAGAAGCGTTGTGCCCTATGGCCAAATGCAGGTCTTAGAATTCCAACATACAGCAGGGAGAACCCAGGGAAGGTTTTGGGGCCAGCACCACTGAGGTGGTCAAGAAAATGGAAGCTACTGCCTGCCACATCCTAGCTCTGGGAGAACGAAAGCTCCCCCAGGAAGTGGGTGTGCATTAGGTCACTTAGCACCCTGTTTGGGAAAGGCAGCTATGCCAGCGGCTAAGAATAGGGTGTTTGTCCAGAGTGCTGGGAGAAGAGGAAAAATGCGTGAGGAGAAAAACTTGCTGCATTACCTGATCATTTCATTGCAAGCTCTTTTTTTCCCCTTTTTCCTCAGCTTTCTAGAGGTATAATTGACAAAATTATTAGATATTCAAAGTAGACATGATTTGAAATACGCATACTTTGTGAAAGTATTCCTGACATCGAGTTAATTAACGCATCCTTCACCTCACATGTTTACCGTTTTTTGTTTTGAATTTTCTAGTGAGTACATTTTAGTTTCACTCTCTTTGCAAATTTCGGTCATCCAATGCAGCGCGACAGAGTATGGTTATTCTGTTGTATGTTAGATCCTCTTATGGCTTTTACCAACCTCTCCCTATGCCTCCCAACCCCCAGCCCTTGGCAACTGCTTTTCTACTCTGCTTCTGAGTTCAACTTAAAAAAAAAAAAAAAGATTTTTCTTTAAAGGTTCCATATATAAGTGATACCATACGGTGTTTTTCTTTCTCTGTTTGGCTTATTTCACTTAGTGTAATGCCCTCCAGGTTCATCATCCATATTGTCACAAATGACAGGCTCTCTGTAGGAGGAATTTGGTATAATCATACTATCAGTATTTCTCAGCCTTGAGTAACATACAGACACTTTATCTATCTATCCAGCTATCTATTTATTTATTTATATTTTATTAACATATAATGTATTATTAGCCCCAGGGGTACAGGTCTGTGAATTGTCAGGCTTACACAATTCACAGCACTCACCATAGCACATACCCTCCCCAATGTCCATGACCCAACCACCCTCCCCTTAACCCCCTCCCCCAGCAACCCTCAGTTTGTTTTATAAGATTTAAGAGTCTCTTATGGTTTGCCTCCCTCCCCGATCCCATCTTGTTTCATTTTTTTCCCTCCTTCCCCCCATAGTCCCCTGCCCTGCCTGTCAAATTCCTCATATCAGTGAGATCATATGATAATTGTCTTTCTCTGATTGACTTATTTTGCTCAGCATAATACCCTCTAGTTCCATTATTGTCGTTGCAAATGGCAAGATTTCATTTCTTTTCATGGCTGCATAGTATTCCATTGTATATGTATACATCTTCTTTATCCATTCATCTGTTGAAGGACATCTAGGTTCTTTCCATAGTTTGGCTATTGTGGACATTGCTGCTATAAACGTGCCACTTTGGATCACTATGTTTGTATCTTTTTTTTTTTAAGATTTTATTTATTTATTTGACAGAGAGAGATCACAACTAGGCAGAGAGGCAGGCAGAGAGAGAGGAAGGGAAGCAGGCTCCCTGCCGAGCAAAGAGCCCGATGCGGGACTCGATCCCAGGACCCTGAGATCATGACCTGAGCCGAAGGCAGCAGCTTAACCCACTGAGCCACCCAGGCACCCACTATGTTTGTATCTTTAGGGTAAATACCCAGTAGTGCAATTGCTGGGTCGTAGGATAGCTCTGTTTTCAACTTTTTGAGGAATAGAACACTTTTAAAGAACATGTTGCCTGAATATACAGAAACCAGGTCCAAATGGTTTGATTATACTTCTAGGTAACAATGAACAACAACAACAAAATGTACCACAAGGTACTAAAAAGACGTCCATATTAATAGAATTTAAATTAATGGTACTGATTCATGGGATGAATTATTTTGTTTTGCTTAAATTAAATTCATCAGGACCACACAGCATTGTTTTTTGTTGTTGTTGTTATTGTTTTGGTTTTTGGGGTTTGTGTGTGTGTGTGTGTGCTGTGCACTGCCCCAGTTCTGCCCCAGATCTTAGCCAGCTAGCTGCTGACAGCAGTGTTATCCTATGGCCACCCTGTCCCTGATTGGCTTAACCCTGGGAGAAACTCATGTCATTGGCGCTTGTCAGGGTAGAGGTTGCAAACTCTGAGAAGACTAGCCCGTCCTTCCAGTACTTGAAGGCTCAGAGGTAGATTGTGTCTAGAGGCAGGTTCCCCGGGAGAGCCCAGAATTCTGCAAACGAGTGATTTGCTGATGTTTCCAAATGAGCTTGTCTGGCTTTCTGATGTGACATCACAGCATGAATTTGGTGAAAATTTCTGAGACTCGAGAAAAAGCATCTGCTTATAAAATGGTTCCACTTTGCCATGTGCACGGGGCTTGGGGAAGGAGTGAAGCAAAGAGGAGCTTCAGCTCTCGGCTGCTCACACGGGTTTATCCCAGAGGCTCTGATTCAGGAGGCTGTGTTGTAAGATCCTTTTCTGTGGCTTGCAGTGTTCAGAATTTGCAAAGAATGTCACCATCTGCTCTCTCTGTGACCTGATGTCACACAGACCAGAATATAGGATTCTCATCCCAAACCTTCCCTTTTAAGGGTATGCACAGTTGTCCAATTTTAGGGAGAGAACAACTCTTTTTTGCTTCTGCTCCCTGTTTCTTCCTGGAGAAGGAGCAGAGTCTGTATGGGGGGGATGGTTCCCAAGAGCCCTGGTTCTGAGCATGCCTCCGGTTGGGCAGACTTCTTTGCTCTGTCGTAGTTTGGCTTTGTTTCTGACCGTAGAGATGCCGTGAATCTGCAAGGATCATAGGTGTGAGGTGCCCCAGGCTATTTGCCTCCCTGTCATTCCTGGTTTTCCTCTCTTACTCCTCAAGTTTGCCATCTGAGTGACCGTGGCTGATGGATCCTGCTGCCATTTCCAGTGACACCCACAACCTCTGGCCACTCCTTCAGGTCTCTGTGTTTCTCCTTTCTTATGTCCTCTTCAGCATTTCCCTTCTCGTAGGTAAATGAGATCCTCTTGTACCACCATCACCCACCCATCGAATTGTTCTTTTTGTTTTTTTTGTTTTGTCTCAGGGGCTGATAGACAAGTCCCAGCATTGTAGGGGATAACTTGGCACATTCAGCTCTTACACAAAACAGCACAAGAACTGGACAGGCTGCCAAAGTAAGGGGCTCGTTCCAAACTCTGGGGAGTCCTGCCGCACGGGTGCTCAAAGGCACTGGTGTCTGTATCTCCCTCCAAATGAGACTTTCCCTAGGCACTGCATTCAAATTCAGATGCGAAGCTCTGGCAGCTTCCCCGGAGCCTGGGGACAGAGGTCACCGGAAAACACTCTCCTCTGTCTTAGACTCTTCATGCTTTGGTTTGCTGTGTTTGCAGAACTCTCCTGCAGCAACTACAAAAACTTCAGACTTTGGTGATGGGCAAGGTTTCGCGCACCTGCAAGTTGGCGGGCACACAGACGGGCACGTGCCTCATGGTGAGTTTCCCAAAGGGACAGCGCCGCAAGTGCCCTGCCCGCCCCCCGCCCCAGTCACCATCTGTCCCCAACTTGCCACATCCACATCCACATCCACGTGGGGTTGGAGGAGCTGTGTGGCTCTCTCTGATATTCCCAGGGTTGACCTGTTGGCCCAGTCCAGCCTGGGGAAGGGGAGTCTGAGTCCCTACACTTTCCCAGCTGTTGCCAGGCTTGAGGTTTGCTCTGGGATCAGTTACTGACAGCTCCCCGTGCTCTCTCTTACCCCCGCAGGTGGTCGTGCTATGCTTTGCTGTCGCATTTGGCAGCTTCCTTCAAGGCTACGGACCCTATCCTTCTGCCACCAAGATGGCTCTACCCAGCCAGCATTCTCTGCAGGAGCCGTATACAGCCTCTGTCGGTAAGATGGCACTAGGCAACTTATAAAGTGTCTTGTTTCATTTGCCTGGAGCTTTCTGAAAGCTCAACTTTCTGAGCGAAGTCTTATGAGAAAGTCTTATCTTTAAAAACTGGTAGAAGCATAGCTTCTTTCTTGAAGGGAGGGAAGAGGGACACGGCGGGTCTGGTGCCCAGGCATCTGGCTCCCTTCTTGTGCCCCTCCTCCCCCGGCCTGAGGCTCCACTGGGAATTCTCTAGAGCAGAGTATGGCAGAGTACAGTTTGCAAATTCTTGCTCTAGGCACATTCTGAGGTCTCCTTTTTGAGCTCTGTTAAGGAGGAGGGATGTAGATTTGGGGGGCGGGGAGTAGTAGGTGGAGGGGGGACATTAAGCTTTCCCTGACATTTTAAAGGACTTCCCTGTGTTTCTACTTCTACTCATTGGAATTGTATGTTGCCATGGTAAGAGTTTGTGAAATGAATCGGTCTGTCTTACAACACATTATGACCAAGATGTAGAGAATTTAGAGACTCAGGTGTTAGAAGTGTGATAACCTCACCTAGCTCAGTGATCCCTTTTAAGTATGTAGGAAATAATGAAGTAGCCGGTGGGGATCGCAACATATACACAGATACCCGCACACACTAATAAGAACAAGTGTGGAATTGGGTGCTAGATTGGCAGCAGGCACAGTCTTACTGTTCTGAAATATCTCTGATCTCCACCGGGTAGTTATATCTCTGCCAGGTTTATGACAGAAATGCCAGCATTTCAACCACATAATTTCAGTGATCTCTTGGGAAATTCTTTTTTTCCCCCCTAAGGGAATGTATCTGTAAATTGTAATGGAAGCCAATGAGAAAAGAGTTTCTATGTTGTAGAAAATTGCTACAGAGCCATCCAGCTCTGCAACTATCCTATAAAACAAAGAAACTGTCTCTGTCGTTTGATTTATGGCTTTGGCTTTGGGGCTTCTCTCTGGTTTCCAGATGAAAATGCAGTTTTCTGCCCTTGTGCCTTCTCTCCATGCAAGATCAGCTCATTGGAAATGTTTCTTATTTTAGCTGGTCTGGACATCTCCAAGTATTTGACTCCCATTCTTCATGACTTGTTTCCCTCAGATGGTTATGGGTGGGCAAGGAGGGGAGTTTTGTTTTCAAAGCAGTGGGGATGGCGGTTTGCTTCATGTCTATTTGCTTTTCTGTTGTTCTTCCAGCACTGGATAATTGGTATAATGTTTCACTGCACAAAACTCTGAAACCCTGAAGCCTTTATGGAAAGCCAGTGCCAGCGGGCACCCTCCGTTCTGGGCAAAAGAACCCACAAGTTGTCATCTGTTTCTGGCCCTGGGCATTTGAGTGAGGGGATAGGATAAACCCTGTGGTCTTTCCCTAACACCCGTTCCTTTGCTCTGTCCTCAGTGAGATCCAGGAATCTGCTGATCTACGAGGAACATTCCCCGCTGGAAGAGCCGTCCAGCCCAGCCTCGGCTGGGGAGCTTGGGCACTGGGACCGAGGATCCTCTCTGCTCAGGGCATCAGGCCTGGAGGCCAGGCCTGATGTGGATCTTCCTCATTTCATTATCTCCAATGAGACCAGCCTGGAGAAATCCATGCTGTTGGAGTTACAGCAACACTTGTGAGTCAAGTACACGTAGATCCGGCTCCCCTGAGGCATGCATGATGAGTTGTGGGTCCGCAACCTGGAATGTGGGGTGTCGACTTTCCCATGGGCCCAGTCCAGGTCTTGTGCTCTTTCAGGACATCTCTCTGGGACCTGGGACTCTGGAGTGGCTGCTACTTGCCAACAGCTGCCCTTAGCAGAGATGGGGTTGTCGGGGGAGTGTGGTGGTGGAGGACCTAGGATGAGCTGCCCCTGTGTCTGCTTTGTCACTGGGGAGCTGGCCATGGTGGCTTGACTCCCTCCTTCCTCCCCTCAGAACCTCATACAGAAAAAATACAGCCCAGCCGAAGCAGCGCGCTTACCATGCAGACGCAGCCTCAGGACCCATTCCCTTCCTTCCCCCCACTAGAGATGTGTGTATGTTCTGCTAGATGTCAGCATAGAGTTTTATGATTTATATACAAATAAATGTGTATTAATTTTAATTATAGATTTATATTGAGGGACATCATTTGAGAGGCACTTTGCACAGATAGGTTTCCATATGGAAAATAACACTGGGCTCCAATTCTCCATATTTTGTTTCTTTTAGGACATTAGGGGGGAAAGTCTTTTGGGAAACTTAAAGGCATAAAGAATGGTCAGATAGTGTTATTGTGCTGTGAGAGATTCCTGAAAATGCCAGACAGCACAAGAAGGAGGGTCTGCGCGCGCACTCCTGGTTATGCGTGGTGTGGTTGGTGATCTAGCTGAACTAGCCCCTGTGCTTCCCAGAAATGATGCTCTTCCAATGCAAGGGCTCCCACTTGAAGATTCAACTGCAAATTCTGCAGCTTTTTCCCCCTAAAGCTGTGGGAAAGGTTCATAATTACATGTACTTGTATATATTTACATGATACATGCATATTGAATGTTTACTGCACCTACTCCCATAAGTATTATGCAAATGTGATCTATAAATCCTTTGAATACTTTAAGAGGCTAGGTGTTATGATTTCCATTATAGAGAAACTTGTAGAGGTGCCACTGGGAGCTATGGGACACTCCACTGCTTGGTTATGTGGCTCTGTCCCAAGTCCTCTCCCCTCTTGGCTCCACTATTCAGGGCCCCATTGAAACTCTCACTTGTTCTAGGATGTCTCCCTGACACCAAAGCCCTCCGCCCTCCTCTGAGAGCCTAGAGACTTTCTAGACTGTTATATGATTTAATAACATGTTTATTTTCTATTATATGTTTAGTGTTATTTCAACTTAATTTTTTTTAATTTATCTGAATGATTAGTATTCTAAACCAGGGATCAGACTTTTTCCTTTTATTCTCTTCTTTCCAGAGTGTAGCATAGGGTTATACATCCTCTGATGATACATTTGCTTAAAGCAATTTATAACAAATCAGCATCAAACCATGCTTATTCTCTGGGTTGGGATGTCTCCTCTTGGGCAGGGATAGAGGAAGGAATGTGAAAGAGCCGATGGGCTGGCAGCTGGAGACTTTGGGAACAGAGGATTTCTAGTAGGTGGGCAAAGAATGAGAACCCGCTTGGGCCTACCTTCAAAGTTGATGAAGTTGCAGTCATGGAATGATTATATCATACTCCCAAGCACAAGAATTGTAGTTGTCAGTCAGCTAAGACTCTTCCCTTTTGGTATCTTTCCAGGGTCAACGCCAAACTGGAGGGGAACGAGACACTAAAAGTTGTAGAACTCGACAGAAGAGTGAACGCCACTTTCTAAAGAGGCTGTCCACCTCCCTCTTTCTCTTCACTCTGCTTTCCTGTCCCCAAACCACCTTTGTCATAAGCTTTTCCTTTTTTGCCTTTGATCTGGACGAAGACATGGGCGAGCGATCATGGCTTTGGATGGGAGGACAGCCTGGGATTTCCACCTGTGGTGAGAGACCACCTTCCCTCCATCCCATGCCCCCCCGAAGGAGGGAGCCCGGCATCCCTCCCTCCCTCCTATTTACTGCCATAGGAAGTTATTTTAGGGTTGGGGCTGGAACAAGCAGGCCCGTTTCTACCAATAGTGCCAAAAAGATACTGCCTGATTTTCACTATGGGATGTGACCATCTCTTTGGAGAAGAGAGGACTCTTGTTCATGTGAGACCCCAGACTCTAGCCTTGAAAATTCCAGGATGCCTGTTGGGATCTGGCAAAGCTCTGACTGATGTCCTGCCTTCCTCAGCCTTTGTGTCTGGTGTTTCTGCACCCCGACAGCCCCAGAAGTTCCAGCGCCTTCAGTGAGCACCCCAGCCACTCTGCCCCATCAGAGCCCTCGCAGATCGTCCTCCCCGCACTGGAGCAAGGGCTCTCCCGTCCCCATTCTCAGGCCGCAAGTGCAATGCCTGAAAGAATCAGGCTTTTCTACTCCAGGCGAACCTGCCCCGTCTTGTTGCTTGTAGGGCATCCCCACAACTGGCGTCCCCGCAAACCCCTAGGCCTGCCTCCCCGGCTTCTCCTCCCCATTTGTAAATAGTATTTATTAGCTCGCTGAGGCTTCCCTGCTAGCAACCACACTGAAAAGATCCAATGTCTCCCTCCAAACTGGTCTTTGGAGCTGGCTAGGAGGGCACCCAAGCTCTGGGATTCCCCAATCCTCCAGATGGTGTTTTTTGTTTTTTGTTTTTTCCCGTGTTCTTCTGCTTCTTCTTCCTCTTCCTCCTTCTTCCACTGGAGGCCTCTAATTATAATCGGGAAATCCCCTTAAGCTTGTGTCCTCCTGCAGAATGAAGTCAGAGGGAAAGATGGAGTAATGCCTTAATCAGGTCTGTGGCTCTGTGGTCAGAGGCTTTTTCTGTCCTGTTCCCATAAGAAAAGGGAGTCCTTGTCCCTGACAACAGGCGTTTCAGACAACCTTGCTGGCTTGCCTCTCCACGCCTGCTCCTAGCGCCCCCCCCTGCCCAACCCCCACCACCCACTTCTGCTTTACCCTCCTCTTCTGCCTCAACACAGGGGTGGGCCTGAGGCCTGGGGTCGGAGTAGGTGATATTTTTGTATCCATAGTCTTACCTTTTATAATCAGGTTTGGCTACTTTGCAGCTTACCCAAAGAGATACAACCTAACCCCCCCCACCCGACCTACTTTTTTTTGTCTGTTTGTTTAATGATTAAAAGTAACTTTTGTAGTTTAAAAAATTCTTTCCTCTTTCATACAAATAAGAAATGGAAATTGCCTTTTTATTGTATAATGTAGAAGATCCCCTTTAAGTGTTTTTCCCTAGCTTGGGAAAGATTTTGTTTAAGAAATCTGCTTGCGTTTTATATTTTATTTTTAGTAGTAGCTGAAGGACCTTTAGCTTTAACTCCTCTCTCTGTCTGTCTCTGTCTCTCTCTCTTTGTGGTCTACACTGTCATTGAAACCTGCACTTACAAGGGATTAAGCCCATGCCTGGGCCTTCCATTCCATATTGGATGCAGGACTTGGCGTCATTAGCATTTTTCCATCGTACCTCATAAGCAGATCCCGGCTTTGTCTGCCTACGTACATCTGGGGCTCCCTGTGAGTGATTCCTCTCTCTCTCTCTCTCTCTGCTGTGGTGGAAAGTTCTGGACCAGGATATGTCAAGGGTGTCTTCTCAGCCATGTGTAAAGCTGGATTGGGGCTGCTGTCCACAGTCTCAGGGTCCCCTGCATTGGGGAGGGAGAGCAGAGGCTGTGTGAGCTATGGAAGAAGAAGGCTTACTAATGTGCCCCGTCCCCTTGCTTCTCTGCTCTCCATTCTCTCCTTCCCTTCCGGCTCTAGATCTTCCTGGGCCTGGCTGGCATCAGGTAGTCATGGACCACTGCTGACCCATCCCTCTCTTTAAAATGCCTTGTAATTATCAGGCAAGGGCACCCCTGGGGGTCTAAAAAGGTAAAAAGAAGGAACTCAAGTAGTATTTGGTCATCGAGAAAGGAAAGGTCTTATATTTGGGGCAGAAGTGAGCATAGGTCAGCCGAGTGACCTGTTGCAGTGGAACCAGATCAGGTTTTGAAGCCTTCTGGATTAGCCAGGGTGGGAAACCCGCTCTCCTGAGTGAGGCAGGAGAAGGGACAGGCCAGCAAATGTCTGGTACCTCCCCTTAGTACCTTGAGGATTTTATTTTCTCCCTAGCTACCCTTGCTTGTCATCCCCCTCTCCAGACCTCCAAACAGCAGGCTGTTTTCTCTGGGAAGCTGTTCTTCCAGAACTGAAGCTGTATCTGGAAACAGGAAACATCGGCCTGGGAGCTCCAATGGCCACATGAAAGGGGGTTCCAAGAACCAACCTTGCCACTGTTTTGAGCACAGCCCTTGCCCTCCGCTTCCTACTTGGACACGTCAAGGGAACGAAACACTTATCCCTTTAGGAGGATGCCAGGGGGTCGAGAAGACGCAAAAGAGTTGGATAATGCCAAGTGATGAAGGGATGTGTGCTCCTTTGCTGTTCTGGGGTTAAGCCCCAGTATCCGTGGTTTTGCTCCCCCTGGAGAGCAGTCCCATACCCCTGTCAGTAATGCCTGGTTAACCCTGAAGATTTCAAAGAGAGGCAGACGTTGGCTTCCGAACTTGAGTTTTGAAAACTGTGAGACTGTTAGCATTCCCATAAACCATAAATAATAAATAGGCTACTCATAAGTACATTAATTCTGTTTTTCATCAGGTAAACCCTGTTTCCTCTCCCTTCTCCTTGATTACCGTGGTGTAGGATATGTTTTGCAAACATTCCGAGAACAAGCGCTTTCTCACTGGCTGAGCCTCGAGTGACCCAGGCACCCCCCAGCTTGGCCCTTTCCACAGCTCTTAACTCTGTGCTTAGAAAAGGATACTGGAGATGAAAGGCCTCGGTGCCTGTTGAAGAAAGATTTCCGGTGAAGTGTTAGGACTCTGGAGCCTTGGTCACATAAAGAGAGTGTTATGTAAAAATCTGACCGCTGAACTAGGTTGCTTCTTTTGGTGGGGTGAGGAGAGATTTGACATCAGCTTAGGCAAAATGAGATCACCTTTTCGTTAATAAAAATGATTTTGATTTGGAGAACTGATCTGTGGGTTGTGAGAGCAGCTTTTAGCTCAACTTATTTACAAACCAACTATCATTCCCATGTTTTTTTCCTTCCTCTCAATCTCTCCGTTTAGCCTGAATGCCAAAAGAGGGCGGTGAATGTCACATGCCCATAGAAGGGGGGAGTGTTGAAGTGATTCAGCTTCATGACAGCAGTGAGACCCTGTCCAGAATTTTGGTGACATGTGTGTCATTAAAATTTTTCAACATTTCATGGCCTCTTTCTTGCACAGCCTCAGACCAAGCAAAACCACAAAGCGAGCATCAGAGGCATCTTGGGGCCAGCTCTCAAGCGCTCATCCTATGGGGCACGCCCTCGAGCCTGACTCACCAAATGGAGATATCCCACTCTAGGCAGAGGAAATGGACCCTCTGTGCTGGTCTTGCTCACGTGGGGGAGACTGGAGATGAAGGAGGAGGCTTTTGGCCTCCCCCTGGTCTGCATGAGTCACAACTTGGGTTCTGTCGAATGTAACCTTTACAAAACCTTTATTAAAGACCCCGGCTCTCCTGCTTGAAGTGCTGACAGGACCTGTGAAACCATTAGCAGGTAGCGCTCTAGTGAGAGCCATTTCAATGGAATGTTGAGACAATTAGGGGACATGTGATAGTGTGAGCCCCTCTGGGAGGCCAGTTATAGAAGCCAGTGGGAGGCTGTGAAGGAGCCAGAGATGGATTTCAGGTTTCCCAGTCAGTCAGTCCATCAGTCTGTCAGTCCATCAGTCCATCAGTCAGTCCTCAGGCTTTTCAGTTTTACAGAGGCAGAGTTCTGCATGGAACCCTAGGGATTGTTGGGGAGTCAGGGGTCTGAGGAGGTTTCATTAATCAATAGCTATTCAAAAGACAAAAGCGCTAGGCCTCTCTCTCTCTCTCCTTTCTGACACATGCACAAATGTCCCCCTTGTCTCCAGCACTCATCTGCCTTAAATGTGCCTTATATACATCCGCTGGGATGACTGAAGACTCCTTGGTCCCTGGGAGATGTTACGGATAGGCTTGTGGTATTAGGCTGAAGCAAGTGTGAGGAAAGAGCCTTTTACCAGAGGCTCAAAAGTGGTTTCCTAAAAATGAACCACGATCAGATTTGCACATCAGGAGAAAAGAAACGCGGTTTTGTCCATTAGGAAAATCCCATTTTGTAGAGCTGCAGTCACATCAAAAACCAGCCAGCCTGGATTAAAGTTACCATCAATCCTCACAGCAGAACTTTTTCTCAGGGCGAAGGAACCTGGCCCATTCAAGGATTAATTTACCGCCTCTCTGTGGCCAAAGAACCCACGCTTAGCACAGGAAAAATCTAGGTGTTTCAAGTTTTCACTTTGGGCATCGTAATTCAGGAATGCTTTATTTTTGTCTTCGTTTGGAGAAGGAAGAGAAATACTATTTCTTGAGCACCTTTTAAGTACTGGGTACAGTGCTTAATACATCGAGGCTTTCCATTTTATAGAGAAAACAGGGCAACTCTTTACCAGGAGACAGGTAGACCACTAAGAGATGTGGAAAGTACAGTTTGTGGATATGGTTGTGCAGATTCCTTTCTGGGAACCTGTAAGGTTGTCCCGTCCCTGTGCTGGGTCCACCATGTAGCATTCAGTTCTTTGCTTCCTGCTGGAGGTACCCACCCGACGCTCATGTCCTGTCTTGTTCATTTAGTCGTCTGTGAATTCCAGCTAGCAGGCTTCGCATCCTGGGAAAGAAAAACCAGGGATTTTCGCTCCATTCCTCTGTTCCTGTCCTTTGCTCACCAGCTAAGTGAGAACATAAACTTTTTGCACCACGGACCAATGGCCTGCCCTGCTTAGAGCCTCGCCCTTGCAGAGAAAATGCTTTATGAGGCTATGGAAAACACCAGCACACCTTGACGAATCGCGAGGGACCCTATTGAAACAATGCTAAGCACACCCTAGACTGTCATCTCCCGTGAGCTTTAATGGCCATGCAGACAGGCTGAACTTTCTACTCTCTCTTGTCATAGTTCTGTAGGCCAGCGGTATTTAAGTCTAAACAGATTGTGGGTCTATTATCTGTCTTAT